TTTTCATAAAATAATATTATGCTAAATCAAATAAAATCATCAAATAAAATTTACACAGAGTGCAACCAAATTACTAGCAACATTTTTGTTCCACAAACGATTTCCGTCAACCGAACCAACGATCGCTTGTCCTGGAAGGGAAGGAATGAAAATAATTATAACTAAATATTTTTTTCTAAAAAAAGAAGATTTTTATGATATGTTAATTAGGTAAATGAAAGAGGGTGTGATTTTAATGTTTCTTCCTTTAAAAAATAAAAAAAAATATTTTGAATATTTTTAACTTGAATTTTTGCGATCGTCAGAGTAACAAATGTTTCAGAATATATCCGCTCTATTCGTTAACAAAAAAAAAAAAAAAAACTAAATAAATTAAAATTTTATTTCCAAATAAAAAAGAAAGTCAGCGCACTATCCACTCCGGTTATCTGAGCTTCCCTCCTTTCTCCATTAATTTCTTACATCTAGCATTTTTACGCCATCAGCATTATTTACCACTTTCTATTATCTTCTTCGGAAGGAGTTCATCAATTTATTCCCTTCCTTTCGTATTATATAGCTTGGTAGTCAAGTAAAAACCTTATTTTAATTTTGAAAATTGGAATAATTGCTTTGAACTGCAATCAGTGGTTTGATGACAAATAATTAATTTCAGTGATTGAAATACAAACCGTCTTCATAAGCGATAGCAATTTTGCTACCATTATGACTCCATGCCATACCGACCACAACTGATTTATTCCTCTTATTGATCATTTCTTCATACCAACTATCACTTTGTGTTAACCAAACAATTATCAAACCATTACTGTCACATGTTGTTAACTTTTGACAGCATTCATTCCATTCCGCTATATGAACAATGTTTGAATGTCCATCTAAATTTTGATTCATCGATAAACTGGTCGACGTTGTGGTTGGTGACGCATTGTTATTCTCTGCAAATTCACCTTAGACGTTTATTTGCCTATTATAATAGATTGATTGCGTTATATTCAAGTAATTTTTTTCAGGTAATTTGCTTATATTTGAAAGGACAAATGTTTCTCATTTCTTTTATTAGAAAGAAAAGAAGGAAAATTTTATATTTCAAATTTTTTTTGAAATTACTCGAAAAAGCTTAGGATATTATCAATGATATCGTGAATGGAAACAAAGGAGCGGTAATTCCCTTTGTTGAAAACCAGACATCTTTGTGTTATGCTTATATCGTCTTATATTTGCGCTACAAAGAGCATTATACCAATGTGAGCTCCATAAAGATGCTAATTCTAGTAATCTTAAAATGATGCAGGTACAAAGCCCTCTCACTCGAGGAAGCGGAGAGTCTTCGTGCATCAGGTCATTTTACAAATGTGTTTCATCGAGATCGGTTGGATATACGACATCGGTTATCGTTTCAACTTTGTTTTTAGTGGTTTCGTCATTAATATGTTGTACCGAAGTCGTAATTGCTAAGTTCGTTATTGGATTAACGGATTTATCGAGATAAAAATTTAATTACCCAAGTTTGAGGTACTGTCGACCAAGGAGGCAGAAAGGACCTTCAATCTTTGTCATGGCTGAAGAAAATCGGAGACAAATTTAGTCCAACCAGCCGGATTCTGTGACCTAAGGATTCGATTAAGAAGGAAGCGAAGGAGCGCGTAAGTTTTATTCAGATCAGCTTATAATAAAAATTGAAAATGAGAGTGAAAAAAGAAATATGCGCGTAGAGACGACAAGAAAGGGAAGTTCTCCTTCCTATCTCATCAGAAGGAATTTGAATTGTCTTGAAAACTGTGTGAGACAGGCTGTTTGACAAGCATTAGAGCTGCAAGGAAAGGAACCACCAGCGAAATCAAGTCACCAAAGAACGAGAGAATGGTTAAAATGACAAAAATCTGATACTGAGAAACAAGTAACAGTGTTGGACGGTGTAATCTCCAGGGAAGTGATTTGCAGATAGAATGGAAAGAATTTGTTAGGTTCAACAAAGGACGATGAACAGAAGAACGACGTCGTGTTATACGAGGATTACGTATGTGGAAAAGACTGCCTTTTTGACGCAGGAAATAAGATTCATTGTGAAAGAGCTTCACTTCTTGCGAAGCTAAATCGAGTAACTCATAGAAATTAAAGTGAAACAGACAAATGATGAATTAGGAATTAAACCGAGTAAATAAGGCACTTATAGAAATTAAAGTGGAATAGACAAATGATGAATTAATAGCAATAGAAAGGCCTAGAAGATTTGGTTGAGGAGCTAATCACAACCAGTAAACCGCCGACTTTAAATCTAGTAGATGGCAAAACGGGAGTATGGGGCCAGCTTATTAGCCAGTCTGAAGAATCAGTTCACAAGAGAACGGATTTAACACCAACACAAATTCATGCATCTATTAAGTATTCTGAAAGGAGAACAAATAAGAATAAGTGACCTCATGGTAAATGAAGAAAATTACCCCTTGACTACAAATAATTTGTGTGGACGATATGGCGATAAAAACAAAGAACAAAAGAACTGTATAAAAGTTCAGAGCGAGTTCGGTGCTCAAATGAAGGATTCTGAATAATAAGAAAAATTCTGAATAATAAGGATTCTGAATAATAAGAGAGCTTTTGAACTCACTGTCCCAATTAAAAGGATTGGGAGAGAAGATTAGAAACGACATGGCTAAAGACCTGAGAGAGGAAAAGTACAGGGACCCAGAATAGACAATGGAATACATTATTAAATACCTAAAAGGAAAGGTAAAGATCGAAAAAGACTCTGAAGAGTAACCATCGAAAAAGATGAAAAGCTTAACAGACAAGACAAAGATGTCGCGAATTCCAATTTCGCGAAAGACCAAAGTATAAAAAATTATCTATCCATGCAATCATCACTCATGTCTTAGATCTTTGTTTTAAATCACATCTGTTGCAATATTTAGAAAACCCACTCCCACTTTTTTCCGTATATAAGCTGGATTGAGTGTTTGTTGGGGTTGCCTTTTATGACCAGTTTCTTCATTACGCTAAAGCAGTTTGGTTGATTCTTTTTCCTTTCCTTTCATTCATTATTTAGCTGTATCGTATCGTTTTTGTGACCCTTACCATTTTACAAGTAAAGAATTAAACTCTCCCCCTTTGTCTACAACGTTACGACACATACACACACACACACATCATCCACATCAAAGTG